AATATTTTTGAAATTTAATGAGAAACGTTCAATAATATTTATATAGAATGAAATGCGATAGGTGCTTCAATTTTTTTAGCACTTGGAAAGGCATACAATATATCTACGTTAAGCGTTAAAAAGTTACTTTAGACGAGTGACCTTATACCTTGTCAATACTATATTAAGTGTAACTTATAGCTAGCGTCATACGATTCCAGCGGGGTCCATTTATTTCTTTAAAATCGTCAGTCATTTGTAAATATCCCACGAAACTTGATTATCAATGGCAAATCATCTGTTACCTATGGCCTCAAAAGTAAGTTGGATCTTTTAGTCTGAGCTACAAACTATCGCGCATCTTTCATCTTTACCGTCGGATCTAAGTCGAATTTATCGTCACGAATTTATCCTCCGAGATATCCGTTCGTCACTTTCTGTGCAGAGCTCCATTCTTACTTGGCTCGAATTTTTTCTCTTTTTTTCTCTTTTTCTCTGGGCGCATACTAACGCGCTACTTCGCTTTTCCTCCTTTATCTTGTTTCGAATAGAGTGTGCGCGCGCAATCTGCGAAGAAAAGTGGGCGTTGCTCGCAAAGAAAAAGGGAGACAAAGGCAAGGAGAGGATCAGATTTATGCCCTGGTTGCAATTGCTAAGAGAGCGAAATTTTTGACGCTGAGACTTCATTTTTTTCTCTTTTACTTTGGTAATCAATACGCCCGATTTTCTGCTGATTCGGCTGGAAATTTGGCATTTATTTAGTTTGAGATTCTAATGGCGTTGATATCTGATTTTGACGTTGAAAAAGAAAGAATGGTGGATGAACCTTCACGAACGATTCGAAAGAGAAATTTGGTAAAATTGTATGTACAAAATGATGAAGTGTATACCATAAAAATTAATAATTTATAATTTTTTTGTTACCAGTGAATTCCTGATCATGCATTATCAAAAACCCTTACAGGAAAAGGGTGAGGCTTTGTGTTCAAATTTGTAAATGAAAACTAATTTTGAAAGGAAGCGAAAAATAATTTTTTGTTAATTATCAACGCGACTTCCCTCTCCCAAGAAATTATGCTCTCGGAATTAAAAGTCTTGAAAGTTGTAAGCTTAAAAGCTTTGATACTGTAATTGCAGAGATTTTTCGTCAAGCCCATTGCGTGTTTTAGCTGGACGTACTTGGAAAGTTTCTAGTATGTTTGTCTAGCTTTGAGGTCTTAAAAATTCTAACTTCATTTGGCCAAAAGGGAGTCACGTGACAGGCATCTAGTTGACGACAGTTGATCAAGAGTTTAGGGCAAGCTTAGTCTTACAACATTAAAAGCTTCTTGAAAGCTTTAATTATTGAGAAAATCATTCTTAATCGAAAATATTAAACTTGCATCAAGCAACTTCTATTCCGCAAAGCTCTTTCTGCACAATACAGCCTTGCAAATACACTCCCCTGTGAAAAAGGAGAAGAGGAATCTCCTTTACCTCGCTGCTCCGGTAGTTCAAGCTTCTTCCTGCGGCTTGGGCGAGCCGTCGAAAGTTCTTCAGAGTATATGGTCTGCTACACATACATATATAGCCGCGAGGCGATTGCTTTGCTCTTTTTTTCAACCGTCGTCGCGGTGTCGAACTGTTTGCTGTTTGCTCGTCTATAGTAATACATATACACACAGCCGTCGGCGCTTTTTTCTAGCGCGCAAAAGAGCTTGTTTGTCGGACTCGTATGACCTCGAGACTTCTTGTGTAATACGACCGGTTTATTCATAGCAGGTAGGACAGACTGATACGTTGGAGTTTACGGATTTCGAATGGAATTTTTGTTTTTTGAATAGTAAATTTGACAGAAAAGTGTATTAAGGGTTTTGAACTAAATTAATGCTTGATTACTGATTGTTGAGTAACTTTTTTGAAACTTTAAAAATCAAAATTCGAATGTATAACGTAAATTCTAAAAAATATAAACTACTTGAAATAATCATAAAACATTATAAAAAATTTAATATACAATTTTATTATCTACAATGTATTAAATTTTGAAAAATACAAACAGTTATTTAAACAATCGGTTTCCATTAGTTCCAAGCTGGTTGAGCAGTACACCCCCGAAAAATAACGAGTCTATCACCGACTGTACGAGCATTGCGAGAGGGTTCTCTCAATACACAGCATAGATCGCGCGAGGGTGGGTAAGAAAGTGCAAGTAGCGCTGGATGAATCAGCCGTAATGGTCACCACGTGTACAGAGGGTTAAAGCGGAGCTATCACGTGTTGCAAGGACGTGTAGTCTCTATAAGCAATTGCTATGCCCATCGCGCGCAGCCCGTTCAACAATGAGATCGCTTTCGGACGCGCGTGCACGTGCCTTATCGGTCTTTCACCGCAAGAGACTCAAGTGTTCCTCGCTTCTTTCCCTTGCTGCCCCGTCCTCCCGTGCACCGAGGATTTGAATTGTTCGCCAAGGCCCACTTATTCTTCCGTCGTCTGTTCCGGCTAATTTTGCCGTTGTGTCTGTATATTCGAATGTTTTCTTAATGTTTTGAAGAAATTTTTATTTTTTGTTAGCTTATTCATGATTTTGCTTACATGACATTGGAATGACTCACACGTGAAACTTATTTATTTATTTATTTAGTTTTATTTCGATGTTGCGAATTTATTTTTAATAAAATAATTTTTCAAACGTCGAAGTGCTGAATTTTATATGTGCATAGAGTACCATAGAAACTGTATTAAATTTTATGACAAGTAGAAGAGCTAACGTACAATTTACTAGAAGAACGTATGAATTAGTATTGAGATTTTAAATTATGTTAATAACCATTTTGATCTTCAGCGTAATTTTAAAGGAATCATTTTTATTTCCGCAAACTTACATTACACGAGAAAATTGAATTTATTCGAATGTAATCATACAAATGTATCACAAAATGGCGTAGCTCACTTGCAAACAATTTTTTAATTTTAAAAATGAATAAATAAAAAAAACAGTTCAGATAGCTCGAAACCTTCAATCTACGACACGTCACCTTGAAACGAGGTATTTCTCGCTAGCATTTATAGATAGACTAGAGAACGCATAATACCATTTATTGCACAGAATAGCCAAAGAAGCAGAGTAGTCTCTCTTTTTTTTAGAGAGAGAGAGAGAGAGAGAGAGAGGAAGACGGTAGGGAGGTTGAAACTTCTTAAATCGCTTGGACTAAGCCGACTTTATCCCGCCCTAGTGTGTATATGCCTTCTTCTTCTTCTTTCTTTGTTTCTTTGTCTCTCTAGATTCCTTTCAGCTACTGCGCCCAGGGATTTTAACTCCATGCACACCCAAGCCGCTTTTCAACTGACTGCACGAGACACGTAATCTTGCATATGAGATGCTTCGGCCATGTCGTTCGAGTTTTCCTCTCTATTGTTGGTTGTTTTTCAAATTTGATGACAATGAAATACGAATAGGAAAATTTACAGTCAAAAATTTGCAAAGTGCGATCTCTCATAAACGGCTTTTTATTGATTTTCGAATTTAATTGAATCGTTTATTTTCATGTATGCTTCTACAATTGTAAGCCTGAAAGTTACAGTAAATAACTAAAAACGCTTCCAACTTATACTTAACTCATTTATATTTATCAAAAATACTATTAATAAAAAAATTTTCTAGTTCGTTACGTTACACGAATTTTTCTTCAGCTGTTTGTAAGCTTTTAAAATATTTAAAGTAAATAACGTAAAATTTATAGAGTATCAGAAAAACGTAAAAAAAGAATATCAGGAAAAAGATTTCTCAATAACATCTCGATAAATAAAAAAAAAATTTTAGTTAGAATTTTCAGATTTAGGATATAAAAAAAAGGAAATTAAAAGGAATAAAGAAAATAATATTCGTTAAAAATAATTCAAAAATTCTAAAAAGTATGAATGAGTGTTATTAAAACGATTACCATTGCAACAAACGAAAATAAAGTCATGTGATTTAGAAAATCTGTAGGATGTTTTTTAATGATTATCTTAAAGAATTTCCATAGAAAGCTATTATGAATATATCTTGTTATCATCGATGACGCAAAAATATTCATTTCTTTCAAAATTATAAGCTCAGAAATCATTACCCGAAATTGTCCAATTTCCCACTGGTCATAATACTTTGTCGAATGTCATGGCTTTAACTTAACCGAAATCCATTTTATCAAACACACTACCATTAGAGAACCCAGTCCAACCACTTTGAGAATCATTCGTTGTCTAGCTCTCTCAATTAAAAACCTAAATCTTCATTAAGCCGTCATTATCCAAGGCGCATTGGGGTGAAAAAATTAACGAGACAAAAGTGAATGGAGAACCCGATTAAATCGAATGGTAGACGAAAAAAAAATATCAAAGAGAGAAACCGTGGTTGGCTGGTGGTGCTGCCGGTCACGTTTTAATTGTACGCTCCGCCGAAAGACGCTAAGGACTTCGTTAACTACCCTCTCATTATGCAGGAGACTTTTCTTTTTATTTTCTCTCGTTCGATTAATAGCAACGCGCTGCCTCGCGTTAATTTTCGTAGCTGCACTTTTGGTTCCGTACGAATAATTATTGAGTGCTGACGGTATGTGGTTGGCATGTGTTGGTTTGCCGCAATGCATCTTCCCTTTTTTTTCTCGTTCCGATACTTTCTTCCTCTCTTTGTCCAATGTTGTTTGGTATAGATTGTTTTGTTTCTTTCGATAATTTTGCATCTTTGATGCTATTCAGCTGAAATGAATAGACAGTTTGCAACTTAATTGGAAAAATCAATTCATTGTTATTATTTTTTTATGTATAAACATTTGTATTATTGTAACAAAAGGTTTTGCATTCAAAAATTAGCTAGAATCATCGAAAAATCTGATGATCTTTCGGTATAATAAGGTAGGGAAACCCGTAAAAGGAGCGAAACCGAGTCACAAAAGCTGTCGATGAAAGTCGATAAGTCGCTTCGTCTTTGCGAGTAGTAGTAAAGCTCCGTATCTCGTCAGACGTTACGACATCTAATCCTTGGCGCTTCTTGCTTACAGATTATCCGTCGTGGAGCAGACGCGTTAAAGGATGCTGCAGCGGATCAGTGACATTGACGCGACGACTAAAAGGTCAACGAAATCGAACCCTCTAAGGGTTGCTGGACCAAAAGGGCGAAGCTGAGAAATTGACGGAACGAAAAAATAGAAAGGAGACCATCGGGGCGAGTGGCAAAAAGCACAGCTCCGCATTCGGTGAGTCATAGAAAATAAACGAGTAAATACTCAAGATTATCAGCGTTTTCTTTCGCACTCCAGAAAGATTTTTGTCCTATTGACGATTTTCATCTTCATAAAAGATTTATCGTTCACATTTGATAATTTTAATATTTGGCTTGGGAAATGTTATAAAATTAATTTTATTATTATTATTATTGAAACTCACGTGCAATGGTCCAGAAGTATACTTACATTTGCCATAATATTAATTTTTTAACTAAAAAATAATGCTTATTTGCGTTACAATCTTAATGATGACTTCTTTGAATCCAAGAAAATTTCGATAAAATAACCTAATAACCCAAAACTTTGAGAAAAAATTTAGCTCGAGTGATGAAATAAAAAACGCGCTAAAAATGAGAACGATTATTTTTCATTTGAAGAGCGCTTTCTGGTTTCTTAGTTTGAGTAGTGTACAGTTTGAGCACCTATATTCCGCTCGATTCAAAATCATAAAAGAAATGCTCTTCCTTCCGTCACAGCACTTCATTTATCCATGATCCCCTTGCACTTAATCGAGTGTAAACAAAGTCGTAGTACCAGCATTTTCCTTTTGAACAGCAGCGGCGACGATGCGCACGGGCGTGAAGGTCGATTGCGTGGAGGCGGCAACCGTAGTAGGCAAAGCAGCAGCGGCAGGAAAAGGAGGGGCGCCCAAGGAGCGCTCTGTCGCAGGAGGATGATAGATCACAAGCAGCACATCTTGGTGGCGCCGGCACTGAGCAACAGCAGCTGCTGGCGCAATTTGCCCGGTGGTCATTTCGAGGCGCACTGGCAGAACCCTGGCGTCTATGAGATCGTGCGCGCCACTCTCGTGCTCGGCCTTAGCCTCGGTATACTCTTCGCTAATCTACTCGTCATTTGCGTCATCAATAGTCGGAGGTATCACAAGTACATACACGCGCAGGTGAGTTTTCTAATTTGCGGGCAAATGCTGATTTTGATAATGGTGCAAAAATCATGATGCAAAGCGCGATCGAACGTCCGACTGCTGGTCAATTTTTAGCGCGCCCGTGTAAGCCGCTGCTCACGCGAAACAGCAAAGCGCACGCTGGAACTTAACGAATCCGTTTGCTCCATCTCCACGATTAAGAAATGGTGCGATGAAAGAGAAGCCGAATGATCGATGGGCTGCCGTGAAAACATTTCTCGCGCGGTTCGCCGCGTAGTCGACGCAGTCTTGTTTTTAAACGCGCGAACCGAGCGCGTCCGCGATACGAACCGTTCAGGTCGCCGTGGCGATGAGGCAGACGTGTAAGTCTCGGAATCAGCTATACCTATCGCGTGAAGCGCCAACTCCAAAAGCGATTCGCGAGTTTTCGTCTCGAGTTGCGTACTCATAGAACCGACCTTCGTAGAATTAAATCGCCCGGGTGAGAGGAGGCAGCATTCGCTGTATACTTTGCTTTTAGCGCGAGGGCGGGAAAAAGGAGAGAGAGAGAGAGAAAGCCAACTTGGAGAGCTGCTGCGCTGATTCGATAAAGGCTGGAACGCACGGCCGTGAGTGCCTGTCGTAGGTCGTTTCGCTGTATTTCATAATTACGCCGTCCTGGTACAGCTCTCACCCTATCGGCTAAACACGTATGAATCGGTTAGCATGGGATTACGCAAGTGCAAGAAAGTGAGTCGCGCGTGTATTGTTACGTTTGCATGGCAGAGCACACGAGAAAATATACTTAACGGCCATTACCTTTATATTGCGAAAGGAACATTTTTCGATAATTGCACTTAATTGACCTTTCAAACTCTGATTCCTCATGTATTTTTCGTTGTTATACTACCTCGCGTGAGCTAAAAAATCATTGGACCTATTAAATTTACGCTCGTTTGAAAGAAAACCTCGTGATCGAGACGACTCGGTGATAACGGAGCTCGGAGCCAATGTGGTCTGGTTCATCATCGAATTTTCATAATTTTCATAATTTTCATAGCGTCTGCATGCATGTACGTATAAAGGCACGTTTTATCTTAGTACGTGCTGCAGCGTTGTCGAATTTCATGAATATGCGAATCTCTAACGTTTCTATACTAAACGCATCCAAATGCATAGACACACATACACACTTGAAGCTTGTTCGTTCACCCGTGTGAGATCGCGTCTTCGTTATATACGCCAAGCGTTACAATAACTTTATGTAGATTTCTAATGAGCCTCGTACCTATTCCCTAGCTACGCTACTAGCTATTTCATACGTTTTCGCCAACTTGACACGATGTAGATTTTGATGGCAAATAGAGCCTGCAAATGTGGGGCTTTGTCAATGACGAATATTCATGCGAGTAATTTTCTGAAATTCTGCTTCTCTAAAAATTCATGCAGTATAATACATGTAAGTAATAGATTGAAACTGAATATTTTAGAAAATTCCTAGACTTTCCGTTATCAAACAATGAAGTTTACGTTATCTTAGATCTCAAACCGCTTACTTGAAGGCGTCACTGACGCTGACACGCGTCTGGCAGTCTATCTCGAGGCAAGATCGTCGACGTCAATCCGCGTACCTACATGCTCATATGCTCTATAAATCGTTTCTTAATATCTTTCAAATCGGGAGATGTGTTAAGGCTTTAGCTTGGGCTTTATACTCGAGATTACAAGTCAGCAACGGCATCTCAAAGTCTCATTTTCTGGTAATACATGAAATTTTCCACCGAATCTTGAATATTTATAGCACATTATTAAATATTACAATCTTGTTTGTCGGAAACGCGAACTTGCCCAAAACTGAACTTGTAACTGTACAACTAGTAATATCTGTATATAGTCAAACACGTGTATGTCCAAAATTGCTTCACCTTGTAAGTTGTTTTGAGTCGATCGAAATTAGTTGACATGTTGAGAGCGACCTGATTTAAACATGGCTCATATTTTTTATTTATTTATTTTTTCAAATTTCTAAAAAAAATCATTATTAATCGTGCAAAAACTGTTTCAGCAACGAATCGTTTTGAAAATATGTTAGGGACTAGGAGAGCTGAAATGATAGTAGAAAATATGTATATTTTTGTGTGATTAAATTTTTTTTTATTGAAATTCTATAGAAATTTTATAGAAACCCCATTGGAGAAAGTTTGGCAAATACCAACATCCAACAAACAAACTAAACTACAAACAAAATACAAACGAAAAGACTAAACGGCTATAATACTCGAAAGCGATTTATCTATCTCCATAGACGATGCGCAATTTAGTGCCCAACTTGGCTGACATAGTAACTTATTTCCGTCTTTACCGGGGTACTACTCTATTTGGGCCTAGATGCGCGCGCATAGGTCACGCACCCAGATGCTTCCTGATCCTTCTTCCCACTAGCTTTCTTGCTCGTCAGCATACCAGACCAAGGATCAGTCTTGCAGTTCCTCCATCTCGTACCTGGCTGAACTGCAATTCCCAAAAGCAGAACTTCTAGCGAGGTCTAACAGCTTTCAGGAGCTTACTCCTGGAGCTGGCGGCTTCACGACCACGACAATGCCTTTGCGCTCATGCACGTTCGTTTGAGTCTTAAACCACGAGAGAAAGAAAATCGGAACTTTAAAAATGAAAACAATGCATTATTCACGTAAAGCTATTGAAATAGTCGAGTCACTTATCTTTATTTTTAGTCATGTAACGCACGCTAATATTCATTGAATATAACTATCGCAACTTAAAACGAGAAAACATCTCGACGCAAAACACGGAGACGGGCAGGCGCGAAGAAAATACAGTGTTCGATTAGGCACGTAAAAACGGCGTATTAGATGTTCATTGAATATTTGCCAATGGTCATTTGAAAATCTTTGACGAACTATTGAAAATCGAGAAATTATATTACAACCCTGCACATGCTAATGTAAATAAACATTAAATTCTAGATAAAATATTGGTACTATTATTCCGAAGGATCAATATTGATATTTGTATCGTGCAGACATTACAAACCTTGTAAGATATTATGGAAGAACGTCCATCATTTTGATTTTATAGTTATCGTTGTATTGATTATCTAAATTTTTAATTTGGAAAGTTAAAATAATAAAAATAAAGACTTTTGCACCATTTTCTATATTCTAAAACTTCCCTTCAATAGCATGTAGACATAAATGTTGTAATTCTGTTATATTCAGCCAAGGTACCTGCTAACAAGCTTGGCGAGCAACGATTTAGCGATTGGGTTACTGGTCACGCCCTTTGGCTTCATACCTGCAGTCTACAGCTGTTGGCCCTACGGCGAACTCGTCTGTCAAATTCAGGTTAGCGTTAGTGTACTTTTAAGAATTATTTTGCATGACTGATGAACGTAGACCATCAATATGAGGATTAGAAATAATGATTTTTCAATTATTGTTGAATTTGAAAAAAAAAAATTATCCTCTCACAACTGAACGATCAACATTCACAAAGTTTTTCAAGCGAAAAAAAAGCAACGATTTTCTATCAAAGACAAAAAAAAACAGCATTATCAGAATCTAAGGTAAAGAGGTGCAAAGAAGGCGTCTTCCTTTCAAGCCATCGGAGAAAAAAAAAGACAGCGCGTTAGCTTTCTCTCTCTCAAGAGAAATCTTAATTCAATCTCGACGTCGAGGCCGAGCAACCTCGTTAATTCCCGCCAATAACTCTTTCATTGGGCTAATAAACCAAGTCGGGCGTTTCATCTTACTTTTTCCAACCGACGACATGCTCTCTTGGCTCTTGAAGTGTAGCAGCGAGTTTTTCTTCTCGTTACAACTTTTCTTGTTTCCTCTCTCCCTCTCCTCGTCTTCCCTTGCTTTTGTTCTTGCAACTCCGAATGTATTCCGTTCTTCCCGTTTTTTTTTCTCCTACGCGCCCATACTTTATTTATAATTAAATGGCTTGCATGTACCTCCGCTCGAGTGCTCGTTCTGTTTTTTTTTTTCATTTCCATTTGTAAAATTTGCACAAGTTCCTACGAGCTTTCATAATATATTCAATATGAAATTCATCTAAAAAACAAATGATGCTATCATTTAATCAGCTCAATATTATCATGAAGAATTTTCATGAAATAATTTTCTAGATTCTATTCGTCTGACTGACCAAATAAAAAGAAAAACAAACAAAGGATCAACACATTAAAGCGCAAGTAGCATCGCGTAATCTTCAGATGCTCTCGTTTATTTTTTATTTTTCTTGCCTGGCTGACTCTTAATTCGACTCCTAATTTACCGTCGTCGCGAGCAACGAGTTTCGCGCCGGGTCGGAAATTGCCGTCAGGTGCTCGGGCCACTTCCGGCTGCGCGTTATCGAGTTCCTGGCGATAATCTCTCTCTCTCTCTCTCTCTCTCTCTCTCTCTCTCTCTCTCTCTCTTTTTCTCTCTTCTGATTTGTGACTCAACGGTCTTCTTACCTATATTTCACCATTTCTGGCTTTAGCCAGTGGAGGCGTTTAGGGTCAGAAACTAGCTGTGGCGCATTAATTTATTTTAACGATGGCTTTTATTTATGATTCGAATATTCTCTCCACTACCACTGACCTAAGATCTATGTCTCCTTTTACGAATGCATCGTGTAATGATTTACTCCTTGAAGTTTCGGTACAAGATTTCTTTTTACAATAGCGGTTGCTGGAAGCAAGCCAATGATTGTGCTTTCGTTCTTATATTCTTGATCATTTGAATGGAGATTTTTTTTAATTCTTATCTTCGCTCACATTATTTTTATGCATTAATAGGATGTTTGTTGTCGAAAATATATCTTTCAATAATATTGCTACAGCGAGGGTTGACTTTGATGTGAGAAATCGATGAGATTATTCGCGTGCCATGTGTGTAAGCAACATTAAATACCTATCGAATTTTGGCCCGAAATTAAACAAAAATTGAAAAATATACTTTTGTTTAGTAAATAAATATTGAAAAAATTAAAGTTTCAATAAAGTATTCAATACTAAGCAGCATTCCTTTCAATTTAAGTCTCATGAGATACAAAATAGACCTGGTAATGAATGCAATCAAATTTCGCGCGTTCAAAAAAATGTTGCTCCAAAACTCTCAAAGCAAGAAATGACTAAGCTTTCACGCCGAGAAAGTAATAGATACCACAGCGTGAATTCTACCGACATTGTTTGCACTTGTGGTATGCAAACAAGTTATTAGCCCTTTTAATAATGCAGTCTACGAAAGCGAGTTTTTCCTTTCTCTCTTTTCGTCGACTCGATGCTCAATGAATGCCGAATGAGGCAGCCTAAGGCTTTTGTTCTTTAGCAGTGCCGTGCTATGTTCGAAGAATTTCTGAAGGAATGTCGAGGAGAATCTCGATTTCACTAGGGGTGCGGAGAGTTTTAATGAAATTATTAAATTGTTTTGTTTCACAATGCAGCTGTTGAATATTTTATTCTATTTGAATATTTCGAAGCTATTCTTTGTAAAGTAACAAATGTCAACTTTCATTCAATGTAAAATGCAATTTTTCGTTATGAATGTAAAAATGACGCAATTTAACAAACTTTGTTCGACTCGGAGTCAGAGTTTTCTTCATTTAACATAATTTTTTAATTCTAAGTATTCTTAGCTTTAATGTATATCTTAATAATGCAATATGAAAACATATTAAAAGTTTTGAACATGATTATATCTATAGAACGCAAATTTGATGTATCTCTCGCTTCATTACGTGGAATGGAATGTGTTGTAATAGAGTATAATAGTTACAAAATTGTTCGGGGAGATATCGGAATTAAATTTTTTCGTTTTTTAATCGATTATATTATTTGTTAATGTCTGAAAAATATATTTCAATCTGATTTGTACTATTTAGGGCGAGATAAAGTGGAAATAAGTGATTTAGAACAATGAACTTGGTACTAAGTAAAAACAACTGATTGGAAATAAATTGAATAACAAAATTTACCGTAAACGTGAGATTGCAAACTATCGAGTGCAGGGATGACCGATCTGGTTGAACGTCAGAACCCGTCTGTCTTCAGCCCTATGTGTGTCCACGGAAAGAGGCGTCGCGACCTAAAGGCCCCAAATTTTCGTGTCCCACTAAGCATTTTCGCGCGGTCTATAAGTCTGGCGACACGACTTCGACGGCGGTTCACTTCCTGCCTTGTTCGATAGAAGGAAACGGAAATCTGTGATCCTCTCGTCGTTTCTTTTGTTTTTCAAATGAAGCTGTGTGTTACGGGTTGCTCTTGATTACATAAGAGCTTACTTACGAGTCTGAGGGCGGTGATAGCGAACTTGAGATGTGCTTTTACCCGTGTGAATCCCCCGGAGACGCACCCAGAGCGTCTCTACTGAATACGCCCGTGGCAATCATCTTCGTCGCCAATACTCGTTGCTGGCCGTATTTTTCCGTTTACAAACTTATCGCTGCGCCGTGTTGCTCCGCACACTCGCACTCTGCTTCAACTCGCCGCGCGATATTCGCGTAATTTCTGATTGGACTGTGACTACGAATCGCTCATACACTCGTTTGGCGCTTTGCGCGCCGAGCGCAGACCGTCTGATTTTCATTGTCGGAGAGGCAAGTATGTAGTGAAACAGGAGGCGCACACGTGTACGCCGATTTGCCCGAAGCTGCCTGATCCCTTTCCTGTGCTCAAGCGATAAGATCTCCTCGATAGCGCGTCGTCGACTGCTGGCCGAGGGACACTTCGGTTATCCGTTCTCTTTATCCGTTTTTGTTTTTTCTTTTCTTTTTTGTTTCACGCGTGATGGATCGACTAGCATGACAAACATAATCACTCCACGTGCCTTGATATTCGAGGCTTTCATGTGCTTATAAAGATTATCTCGCTCATTGACTGAACGTTCGGAACAAATAGATTATTACATTTTAGTGCGCTTCTGTACATAAATATTATTTTTTCTACAAAAAGTCATTTCGATTGAATAAAATTATTTTTTTTAATTCTTCATTAAATATAGCATTATTCAAACTGATTGAATGCAAAAAATGTATACTATTCAAATAACTCTACAGCCCGCAAATAAACGGTAACGCGTCCAATTACAGGTTACTATGAAGAAAAGCTTTATCGATAAGAGTTGACTCGTGCTCGAGTGGATATTTTACCGAGGTAGCCGCAACCAAGGTCAATACACTAGCGGTTGTCCGTGAAAATAAAAACGTTTGATCTTAGGGATAGAAGGTCAAGAAGACAAGATGCGATCGTTTTTTTTATTTATAGGGCATTGATGATCGAAGCTTTCGATAAATTAGTTCACACTGCTGATGTTTTTCTTCCTTGTTCTTTGCTTGACACTCTACTTGATTGAATACTTGATCGGATTTTGTATTCTATCTTCTATGTTTAGGCTCTGTAACTGTAAAAACATTTGAGCATCTATCGTTCTTTTTCACGTTTAATTTGGAAGTTAACGATTAAAGTATTATTGCGTTTGGATTTTATGAGTTGCGCTGCACGAATTTGTAAATTGTCAAAATTAAAAAAATATTCAACACAATTACGTTGAAAAGTCTGCTGACTATTTCCTGCGGTCGTAACCTCTATCAGCTTTTACTGCAAAAAAAGAACGGTCATATCAGTGTGACACGAGATTCGCGTAAAATTTTAGAACCTATAATTTTTTTGTTTTTCGGTGAGGCGTACATTGATTTTAATCATGATGTTTTACTCTCCGTAAATTACGTGCCTTTGTCGACATTTACGTCGGATGCGATGATTTTTTTTCTTCTACAGTTGGTTGTAAAGCTGAGAAAAGATTGATTTACGAGTTAAATCGCGTTTTATAGTCTTTTTTTATAGTTTTTAATCGGCGGCGGTGGAACATATGTACCGCAGAGAAAAGAATACATTTTGCAGGTTGGAATCGTAGTAAAAAAGCTGAGAAAATGACGATGGTAAAAAGCAATAATTAGGATGATAAAAATGAAAATATGAAATGGTACTTTTGAGGATTTTTATTGTAGTGAAGAGAAGTGTCGACAGGACAACAGACTACACTGCGTGAAATGAAGTCGCTGCAAATACATGGACGCATAAAGGAAGCGTGATGGTCCATTAAAACCGAACACTCCTCGTTAGCATAAACCGCAACGCGATGGTACAACTTTGGCTCGTCGTTCAAGCAAACACACGGACACTCGAGAAGTTTTGCCAGCGATTAGCGGGAGCAGCATCGAAAGATCCCTCCCTCCCGCGTGCGGGTGTGGCTTTAATTGAATGATGCTCGCTGAAGCGATAAAGCGCGGATCACACGTGCTGCGCGGCTGTAAAGTAACCGAGGGCGCTGTATTAATATGCACGACAGGTGTACGCAAG